TTGACACCCCTTATGGTGCAATTTATTGTTAAAGAGAATTCTTATGTGATTCTCACGTCCATAAAAACAATATTCATTTGTGATTGGTTTTCTTTAATAGATAATTATTTTACTGGATTCTCTATATAGAATTCATTTTTGGTTATAATTACTTTCGTAATAAGACATTACATAGTCGTATTGGCACAACGTTTGGTCGTACGATGGGAAGGGCGCCATATGGCCGAGAGAGTGAATACAACGTCGACGTCTGGTCGTTATGAGGGAATACAACGTCTGGTCGTAAGGAGGGAATACAACGTCTGGTCGTAGAGACAGAAAACAACGTCTGGTCGAATGGTCTTTTGGAGGAAATAAGCCAGTAAAGGATGAGAAACATGTATCAATACACGTATTGTTATGTTTGATAGACTAGCAAGTAGCAATGTTATAACCCTGCGTTTGATAGACTAGTAAGTAGCAATGCTATAACCCTGTGTTTGATAGACTAGTAAGTAGCAATGTTATAACCCTGCGTTTGATAGACTAGTAAGTAGCAATGTTATAACCCTGCGTTTGATAGACTAGTAAGTAGTAATGCTATAACCCTGCGTTTGTTAGACTAGTAAGTAGCAATGCTATAACCCTGCGTTTGATAGACTAGCAAGTAGCAATGTTATAACCCTGCGTTTGTTCAAATGTCTTCTATTGAATACGATAATACTGTATTTAAAATGTGTATTATACTATTACATATATATATAATATACTTGATAAATTCTCGCGATCCCATTTGCCGGATCCTACACACGTGACCAGTTCTCAAAAACTCATATAGACAGATTTCGCGGTTAATATCGATTCCTATATATATATAACTTTACGGGAATACCCTTCACCGCAAATGATCAGCTGTTTGATAAATATATATTGTCGTGGCCAATCTTTCAACATAATATATAAATTGATCAACATTACTGTTTCTTGTAAGCCGAGATCATAGATATATATATACAGGCTTTATATGTCTCTGCCGAGATGAACGATTTGAAACTAATAAAATCTTTTAATGTGTTTTATTTGATTCACTGTTGAAACATGTAATAAAACAGTTACGGACTTTTTTTTACTGTAAATAGGATGTGATACCGAACCTGAGAGGTGTTATTAACCCCGATTTTACCTCGGTTAATATCACACTTTCGGGTACATATCTCACCATATTCGCCATCACAAAACGTCCATACATGCATGTAAACTTTTATGATATATTTTATACATCTTATTAAGTAATCAAAATATCTAAGATATAAGAAATATAACGTAATTATAAAGAATACAGGATCGCTATTGCTCTATAAATGAATGTGAGGTTTCCATAAGGAAAACTATACTGATCAAACATTGCTGTTCAGGCAGCATGCGTGCGTAGCACGTGTAAACGGTATACACTAACCATACTATTTATATACTCAGAAATAATACTGGCAAGCTGGAGATGGACAATTGTTTAACAGATAATTAATAACGATTATATGTTAAATGGTTCTTCAATTAACATCCCATGTTTCGCGATTTGACACGTAGCTGTATACAAATATATATCGGAGAGGTGTAAGTGTGTGTACTGGTATAATTAGGGACGTGTGTGCCACTCGCGCGCCAGTGTATATAGCACAGGTACCGGACATACATGATAACACATGTGACTGGCCAGTCCCGTAAACAGTGACGTTTGACACATAGTCGGGTAAACCTTTAGGTTAGGGGCCGGGTAAGATGATGGGGAGTGGGGTTAGTTCTGTCCTTGGTTCTGTAACATTATACGTTTGTTTCATTCTAAAGTCAATTTCTTTGACAATATTTACAGCATAACAATTACAAAATTGTGACATCGACTTTGTTCAAAAATCTATGTGAAGCGAAAACGAGGAAATATAACATGCACGTTACTTTGTCAATTTTCAATGAATGCATGTATGTATTGTTCTGTTTGTGAATCTTCGATTCGGAGGAAATAAAGAGAATAATGGGAGGAGAACCCATGAACAATTTACATAAAGCGTTAGCTAACAGTGAAGTCCTGAGATACTGTTAACAGTGACGGTTTAGTCCTGGACTATTCCCTAGGGGGAAAATTGACGCTAATTGGCAAAAAAATGGTGTTTTTTAAATCTGGTTATTTTTGTTCTCATTTTTAAATAAATCATATTTCAAGTCATAATCAGCTTATTTATAGATCTGTCTGGAATAGTGCGGGAAAAAGGCGTGATTTGATAACATGTTTTCGCTTTAGTAAATTTTGTAAATAGTTCTTATAGAATAACATGTGTATGTTAATAAAAATGATGTTGATAATTCAATTTGACAAGAATGCGTCAGGAAGTAGCGTACTATGCCACAGAGTTACAATTACACAAACACGTAGTATTATAACGTTAAATAAAAAATAAGAAAAACTTTAATGGAAATATATGTATTTATAACCATTCGACATTTTGTGTCAGACAAAACCCAAAATTAGCGAAGTGAACGGAGTACGGGGTTTCATCGACCTTAGTAATGTTAGCGAATATGAAGGGGATTTATGTCATTTTAATCAGTCATGAATCACTCTCTAGTTAGCTCTCTCGATCCCCTCCTTCCTATTTTACTCCTCCTCCCCAATTCTCCCCTGCCCACTCCCTCACGTGGTCTAGGTCACGGATCATCGCGCAATCCCCGTGTAAGTATACGTGACATAACTCAACCATGACGTGTCATCGTAAAATACGTCACGGTTGATAATAGTTTAACGAGTTCCGGAGTCAAAGCCTTGTCTCTATCGACGCTTGATCAAGTTCTGTCGACGAAAAGCTTTGCAGAAAATAAATTTGAGAGAACTTAACGCTCTCTAACAAGTAGTGTGTGGTAGTTCTTTTTAATTTCATTTTCATCATCTCAAACTAAGGATTGCGACTGTAGCGTTCGTACTAATGGTGTTACAGTAAGTACGTTGGCTACTAGACTGGCCACCGTCTCTAGAATATTAAATAATTAAGAAAAAACTAACTCTAATAATTTTGATCACTTGGATGTCTGATTCTAGGTTCTAAACAAGGGGGAGATAAGCTAGTAGTAAAATTCAGTCGAGAAATTCTTCATAAAAACTTAGGGGCTGGTGGCCAGTCTAGTTGGCTACGTACTAACAGCTTTATGTTATATAGGCTAGATACATAGGATTGTATTGAATAAGGCTGGGATTGGTCAGGAAATCATTACAGTCTGAACAAGTTTCAGTTTTTATATTTGATATAAGGCGTTGATATAATTCGCCCAGTTCTTAACTGGAATTGACATTGTCCTTTTGCGTGGTCTTAAGTGCAATTGTACTTGTGTCGTTAGGTAATACAGTACTAGGAATCCTTTTCGCTGGTACGTAATGCGAATCAATGTTTTATCATCACCGAATTGTATTTTCAAATTGTGTCATTTCCTTACACGGCAAGAAAAACACGTTCCATCAGATCCCAAGTCCAAAATATCGACCAACTTAATCCGGATGAAATAAGTTTTTGAATATGTTTTACTTAGTAACAATAATTAACAGCATTTATCATAAAGAACTATCAAACTAACAACTCGTAAAAGTCAACGTTGTGTGTTCAAAGTTGAGAATTAGATCAATAAATCATTTGTTTTAAATGTCTATTAAAGAGTCGTGTATACACATTAACTTTCCTCCGTGAAATTAAGCTCTTTCCAGTCAGTTTACTAAACAGCATGTATCCGCATGTTTTCCTATATATTAAAATATGTAAAAGTGAGTAGACATTTAAACGTTCATGCTAACGCGATTCATGGAAAATGTTCAGAAAGACAATGTTGTTATGACTGAATGATGAAAAAATATATTTCATTCCTTAATTATTACTGGTTGTGCGTCAGTAATGCATTCTTCATGTGATCCTTTATTTCAATCTAATTAATGGGTAAAGGATTTTTTTCAACAAAAGGAAATTTGGTTTCATTGATAGCGTAATGCGGTGTTAACATGCCATGTTAATTAATTAGTTAATAACATAAAACAATTGACTATTGTTTTATCTCGTCACGGATATGTAACACCGGTGACTAGACATTCACTAATAGTAATAAGGTTATCATCGCCGGAAATACAAGTAAGTAATAATAATTATTTAGTATCTTTATTAATACACATAACACATATCATGTCATAAAACCCAGGGTTCCCGTTTACACATACCACTGTTATCCGTGAAAGGTGGTGTGTGCGCGTGTGTGTATGCGGAAAGGTATCGAATATGTCCCTTATCACGTGCTCCGTCAAGCCCGTGCATTCCCCACTGGCACTGAGTCAATGACACCTACTAACTCCCATTGATAAAAGCGCACCAACAACATAGTTATAGTAAATTCTGACAACGATCAACGGACTACTGGTAACCGGGGACCACTTTTGTCCAGGAGCCAATCCCGCCCAAACGAGGAGAATATCCTAAAGTCGTATTTGTAATATATATCGAATCACACAGAAATACTTTTTAATTTCTGGAGGAAAAAATATATAATTTTTATCTAAAATTGTTATTGTCGGTGTGGGATTGATTTATAAATAACAGAAATCAGTAAGTGTATGTTGCTATTTCGGACACGCCCCTTTTCATAAACTCGTCAAAATTACAAATTATTGTAAAAAATGTGGCTAACTAATGCCTATTTTATCGCATTTCATTAATATTAAATTTATTATGATTTACGATAATTTTCAAATCGATGTTATTGGGAATTAATGTCGTTGACAAATAACATTCTGAGATATTACCATTTTACTGGGACGGTCTTGTGCCCCACACACAGCGAACCCATCAAGTGGGCGGGGCCAATCGGTAACCGTGACATCTCTAAACGTCAGAGATAAGAACATCCCAGGGCGATACTGGCCTCTGATTGGTCGGTGGTCGGTAGCGTAAAGCTGCGGTATGGGGTAAATAGCGAGATCGTGTATGGAGGATCACTTGAGCTGTTGAGACACAGTCATTGGAACTCTGAGAAAATACATCTGTGAAGCATTTGGCAAACTTAATATCATTATAAGATTTTTTTTTATAATCTTAATTTTCTTTACTCATGAACGGCTTAGTAATAAGGACACTGTCGTAAGGGAAAGTTGGTTATTTATATATCGTTGGTTATTGAGTTATCATTTCCCAACAAAAATACTACTTTTGGTGGTTTCGCGGAAGAGACCAACAGGATGAGTTTGAGTGTGACCGGGTATTCCCACCAAGGGTATCCCCACCCGGGACCCACGGGACATGACCTTTACCAGTACCCTCAAATGCCACGATACACCGATCATTGTGGGGACGCCACCTATTTCCAGAACTGGGTACTAAATGGACACCACCCGGATGTACAAATGTCCCCGGAGTCGTACGGGATGTGTACCCCTTCCCCCACAGACTTCCATGTGATGGGACATTACGTATCGGACGGTATCAGATACACTGCTGACGGAGTACCCATCGAAAGGGTGGTAAAACGGCGAACATCTGCCAACAAAAAGGAACGACGGAGGACACTATCTATTAATTCAGCGTTTGCAACATTAAGGGGTTGTATACCCAATGTTCCATCGGACACAAAATTATCCAAGATTAAAACTTTAAGACTGGCCACAAGTTATATTTCCTACTTAATGGATGTGTTGGAAAAAGACGATCCACAGCTAACCGAGGACGGGTTCAAAGCCGAACTGGTTAAGAAAAATGACAAAAAATCAACCCCCGAAGAGAAAAAACATAAAGAAAACACGGTATGTATTAAAATGGGACAATAATTACATTTATGATGAAAAAAGGGCGGATTTTAGTAACATTGCTAGATATTTCTTACTTTAAATTAGATAAAATATATTTGCAGAGACATGTAAATTCATGTCATTTTAAGCTGTGAATTAATTTGCTCTAAGAGTATTTTTAACCACTGCTAGGCATAACCATTCTGAAATGAATAGTTTTTAAATAATGATATCCGAGCTTACAACATATTTTTTTCTAAGCATATAATGATAAATAAATCTCCCCAGTTTATCTTTATATTTCTGTGACCACAGGAAAACTGTTAAAGTCTTGTAATCTATTTTTCTGTTTGCACTTATCTCTTACTCGAAGACATTTGGAAAATGTGACACAATATACCATAAACTTGATGTTCTACCCCCGCGCTGCACTAAAACAGCATGACCATTCCGTCGGGTATTTCTAGGTCGGTCCTACTGTGGCCTTAAACTGCTTAAGAATTCTTTAACATTTAACTTGGTTATTAAGTTATATGTGTTCAAACATTTTTTTTATTTCGGATAATAAATTTAAAACGATAAACACATCTAGGTGTACAAGATGGTATAATCGAGGTAGTATTTTTACTTCCTTTTTATCTACTGTTTTCTCTCAAAAATGCTGCAGTGACATTTCACGATTTTGCGTTGACCCTAAGCCGAAATTCTAAAATCCTATTCGAGGAGAGAATCGTGGACTTTATCGTGGAAAAAAGTCAAGCTTCGGGCAGCTCTATCTGGCGTTGATACTGGCAAATGATAATGACTCCAAACTTACCCGCGGGATACGTAGCGAGCTGTTTCCTTTAACCATCAAGAATTCGTGATAAATTGTAAAAAAAAATGTAGACAAACTTTAACAAAACTACGAATCTTCTTCTATCGGCAATGTACTTTAAATGTTAAAGCTTGTGGTATGGAAATAAAGTTATGATAAACATAGCGCGCTCTAATTGTGATAGGGATACATCTTTATCGTGTATAAAACAGAAATACAATTAAGGACCTATGTGGAAAATCCGAAGAATATGAAAAACTATAAAAGTACATCTTTATGTGAAATGATTTCCGCTCTATTCCTATCTAGTATTTTCTCAATTTAACCTACACCTGTAGATATATTCGAAAATATCTATTTTGTTTAAAATATATTTATTTTTTCTCAATTTAAGTAAATTTAGATATTTTCTACAAGACCACGTTGTGTTATATGTCGCGAATTCGCTTTCCTGGTATCATCTCATAGAAAATACCGCGTTAGAAATACAAGAATTTCACTATTTATTCCATTTCAATATTTATTTTATCTAAGTTATATCGGAAAAATATTACTTGCATAGTCTTTCCATGCTATTATGATTTAATTTCTAATCTAAAAATGTAATCGTCCGTGTTATCTGTGTTCGTGTTAGAAAGTGGCGTCATGGATAATTTCGATATATATTTTTTATTAATGAGTGAAACAGTGTCCGTATTAAAAAGGAGATCGAAAATATTTCTGACAGTATAATCCACAATTTTAAAATTTGCTAAGGGAATGTTATAACTTTTATAACTGACCACGGCATTGGTTGTCCAACAGTGCTTATTCCAGCTATCCTGACAGGTTACTGGTTTGTTTACGTGTTATAACTGGTGTGTGTGTGGATGTTTACGTGTCACGGCGCGCGCTGGATTACACATGTGTATTATACAATCACGTGTGATAATATCTCCGGCCGATGACACGCGTCCTGGTTATAATATAATATATTATTACTGAGAATATACAATAAAATAAATTATTTACTTAATTTTTTCCACTTTCCTAATGTGCAAAAAGTAGAGCAAAACAGATGGGGAATTCATCAGCATATAAAATATTCATAACCAAAATAGAATTCGAAAGTTTACGCATAATAATTAATACAACACCACTGGAATTAAATATGCAGTGTCATATGTTTACTTTATGTACTAAATACATGTGTGAATCACCTGTTTTAACACTACCACATCACAGGTGTCAAAATACCACAGGTGTCTAAATCGGCCTCACGCCATTTTGTTATCTTTGTCTCGCGGTACGATCATAATTATAGAACATAAATGACATCTAAACAATTATTGGGAATTACACATTTTTAATATATTTGAATTGCTAGGGTTTTTTTTCAATATGAATTATGCAGTATTCAAACAAGTCTAAATTATTTGCGGTATGTACTGCTGTTAATCTTGATAAATATATGAGAAAATTTGGGCAACATGCTAATCCCAGGTAAAGTATATGTACAGCTCTTAGCTACAACACGGCTACTCTATAAGTCTGACTTATTTTATCACATCCTCGAAAATTAGTAGATAAAGCCGACCCACAGAGGTTCGGTAGAAACCCCCCAACGGGACGGGGAGCTCGGAAAATCTCTCTCAGCTGGTCAGCTGATGGAGCTATACGACTGACCACGAGGACTGTGAGACTCTGCGATAAGCTTGACCATTTTAAAATCCCGAATGTCCATCTCAATTTCTTGTGGGGAGGGGCCCTGCAGAGAAAGGGTCGGGAGTGATACCCTGGTGGCGACAGTAGGGAGGGGGACCCACGGCGTTTTAATAGGTATACCTCGTCCAATTTCTCCTCCCCATGTCTAGTACACCGTTCGGTAATAAGAAAAACGTTGAGATTGTCGTAAAACCACGGGGATATTTCCACTAAAATAAATAGCATTTTGGGAAACGATAATTTATGATATAGTATTATTATTAAACACAGTCAGAGAAATAGATAGTTTGTCACTCCAAAACTCTTTCTCCGCTAAACTCCAAAACAGAACGATATCAGGCTGATACTATCAGTGTATGGAACATATTGTATTATATTCCATAGGAAATTAATAATACATTACAAACTATCAGTGTATGGAAAATATTGTATTATATTCCATAAGAAAATAAGAATACATTACATCCACATCTACAATATTTCAAAATCATATATACATGTACGATATTTCAGATAGTCTAACCAACTTCAAGAAATAACCAAGGAATGGCTCATTTTTTGTCCGAGGATGGAACCCATTTATAATTATGACATACATTGATTTTATGCATCGATTTTGTCCTGCTTTTGGTAAACCGTATTCCCAGCGGTTGTTTCTAAACATATACTTTAAAATAAATATGATATTTTACATTGAGTAATGAAAAGTAATGAATACATCGGTTGGGTGAAAATTGAGACAAAAAGGCAGTGCTTTCCTGGTCTCTAGATATAAATAACGCTATTTCCTCTGTACATTTATAACGTTGTAAGGAGAAATAAGGTCGAAAGTTGCTGAACAGAAAATACGAAAAAACTCATTTATTATGTTTTGATAGGTTAAGATGTATTAATATCAAACAAAGTCACTATACAGTTGAAGTAAAAAATATGTACGTAAACAATGTATAAAAAATAGATTTATCCATATTTTCATCCGACCAGACAAACAGCTGAAAATATTTCCTTTTTTTACCGTTATAACTGATGATAAGTTTGTAGATTTGTATCAGTGTGTAAATATGCCCATGAATAACAACAATGACTGTGATAAATCAACAGGTGCCCGGTAAATCTCTACATCTCCGCCTATCATAATAGTTTGTGTTAAGGACATGGATAGGGGGCATAACGTTGCTCTACGGAAGTGGCTTGTATCCTAATCTTGGTTAACTTTTATAGTCTTTGGTTGACAAACGCCGTTGATGGCGAGGAATTCACAAATCCCAATTTTAAGTGGCCCACTAATTGAAAATGGGAAAAAATGTAGACTTCTTCACATTTGAAATCAATTTGTGTCTTTCTTAGACTCAGCGCTCAGTGTTGGCTGTCGTACTTGATCACGTTCAAAACGTCAAAACGCGAGATTTCCCGGGTCGCTTACCCCACCACAAATCAGCAGTGGACTCGTGGCCCCATATGTCTAAATATCTCCCACTGTACGGACAAGCTTAGGACGGGATCGAGCACCCGACAAAACAGTTTTGCATCCTTAATGATTCGGCAATATATGTGTCAGTGAGAATCTAACGTTACCCTTTATTTACGAGCTGCTTTTTACCTCCCCTGCTAGACTCTCGTGTTTATGAACGGTAACCCAAAAATGATGACTATATTAATCTGACGAGACTTTTGACATGGTCGTTCTGAATGGATCGGTTTAGCCCCTTTTTCAACAAGATGATAAGTGTTGCCATTCTTCATTAATTCTCCAGCTTCTTCCTGGATCATAAAACCCATTTCATACAGAGTACACAAGCAAAAAAAACACCATGCAAAAACGACCATATAGAAAATTATAGGGGGGGGGGGGGGGGGGGGAGTTATGAAAGACATGCACGTCTTCATATAAGCATTGAAGTAAAGAATTACGTGTCTTGTAGTTTTATCACGATTGAGTCAAATTACACGTAGAATATAATAAGTAAGTCATCAAAACTGAAAAAGCAACAAAAACAAAAACAAACAAAACAATTTATAAACAGTATTCTCCACTTGTTTAAGTTCTGACCTATATAGAAAGTCACAACCTCCTCACCGGTTACACGGTCCAAAGCTTTGAAAATAAGAGTTTTTTGATAAATTTTATTGCCGTTTCTTGGCAAATATGAAAATAAGATGACCCCAGCGCTCCTCGTCTTTCAAACTTCATAGGAAAAGACTCGTTTTCTCACATCATATCACACGATGTTCCCATACCCCCGGTTCAACAACTCCCCTGAAAACAACACAAGCATTCTTTTAAGTAGGAAACCGTCCCGGGCTGTATCGAATAACGTATCTCAAATTTATATGATAACTCCTTAATTTGAAGATAATTCTGTAGGTTAGATACGGTATCCTTTTTCGAGTGGTTTACGCGTCTCCACTCTTTAAAGTTATGAGTAGGGAGTTAATACGAGCGGGTTGTGTCACTAATGTTCTAACTAAATATACGCAGAGTGGCCCACTTTCC